CGGGCATGGTGGAATGCGGAGGGCACGCAGACCTCTGCGTCGGACTCAAGCTCGGATTCGTCGGTCGAGAGATCGTCGTCGGGTGCGGTGAGGGCCTTTTTGCGCCGCTTCGGCTGCGGGCCTAGATGATGCGCACCCCTTGCTCGGGTGCTGGCGGTGGTGTGCTTCTGCGGCCCAAACGGGGCGGGCAGGTGGAGCTTGTTCATGAGGTGCAGCGTCTGTGTGTAGAAACTTGTTGTTCCGACCAAACCACACGGAAAGATACGGTCAGCACCACTTGCGCAGTAGAGCAGCGGCCACAGCCAGAGAGGACGTACTGTGGCACCTCGGCGAGCGCCCTTACAATGTTGGCCACGATGTCGACGTCGAGCGGTGGATAGAGGTACTCGGGTCCCAGTTCTGAGTTTGCGTTTGCCCTGCGGTGACGAGACTTGTGGTCAGCAAGGTCGTACCAGACCACAGCACGAGAATTGTTGTCGGACAAGAGAGGCGGTGTGGCGCACGAGGCCGAAGAGCTGGTCGCCCCATTGAGCTGAGCCTCATGCAAGGCGTCCGCCAAAAGCGGTCGCTTGCCCAAGGCCGAAGCAGGGTCTCGGCTTGGCATGGGCGCTACGCCCGGTGACAGTGCGTGATGCTGCAGCATGGGTCCCGTGGGCATGGCCGCGTTGATGGTGAATGGATGGTGGATTGGATGGCCGAACGGTGGAAGGTGTAGCGGATGTGGCGAAGGTGAAGGCGCAGAAGAAGAGGAACTTGGGGTATCAGTAGTAGCGGTCGCTGCATTGGCGGGCAGCAGGGTGGCGGTGAGCGTCCGATCCCATAGACGCAGCCCGCTGAGGGCCGCCACCCCGCGCATGGCAGCGTCCTCTGATGGAAACTCCACCACCACCGTCCCCTTCTGTAAAGCAGATCAATTTCCAAACCTTCTCTTCAATCAAAGAAAGTAAAAAAGTTGCAACTTTGTAAAAGTACCATCGGGCCGGAGAGGGGACGAATGCGGAGGGCGCCATAGTGGCTGCACAGCTCGTGTAGGGCAGCAGAACTCAGGTGAAGCGGCAACCCCTTCACCTTGGCCGACGTCTGCCCTTGCATCTGTAGCGGTAGAAACACATTTTCCTTTCTTCCTTTTAGAAGAAATACATTTCCTTTTTTAAATGATTGTATTTTTATTGTATTTATTGAGCAAATAAAAGATAAAATAATTACATGGTGCCACTCTTCTCGGCGAACTTCTTGAGCCTGGCCCTCTTGTTCTGGAACCAGATGGTGATGCTGCGGATGCTCATCCCGAGCTTCTGCGCCAGCAGCTGCTTGGCCTCGCGCGCCGGGAAGGGGTCGACCGCGAACACCTCCTCGAGCAGCTTGAGCTGCTGGGGCGTGGCCCGCTTCCGCTTCTCCTGTGGCGTCTTACCACTCGATGATGAGTCGCCGTCGCCATCTTCCACTGAGTCGCCCGCGCCCATGATCTTCTCCTTGAGCAGCTTGAGCTTGTCCTCGAGCTTGCGCGCCATCAGCTCCTTGTTGTGCTGCTGCTCGAACGCGCTCCGCTTCTCGCCACGATCAGCGCCATCTTCGTCCTTGCTGCCTCCATTTTCCTCGTTGTAGCCATCGTCGTCATCGTCGTCGAATTCTCCACCATCTTGGCCGCGGCTCCCACGGCTCCGCTTCCTTCCGCCCTCGCCGGCCCGCGAAGGCGACGACGCGAAGGAGGCTGATGCCGACGCCGAGTGAACCTCGAACCGCTGCCTCCGCTGCTGGGCGTGCAGGCGCTTGAGCTGCTGGACGTTCTGCTTGCGCTGCATCTGTCGCACGAGGAGCTGCGTCTGCAGCGCCTGGGTCTGCAGCCGGAGCTGCAGCTGCTCGGGCGTGAGCGCGGTGGTGGTGTTACCCTGTCGCGGCGGCGGCGCGCCGCAGTAGTCCTCCTCCGCCTCCTCTCCCTCCGGCAGCCCCGCATCGTCCCCCACATAGAGCTTGGGCGACGACGGCGCCGATTGCGAGCGCTCGTACGGGGTGTAGTAGAAGCCGGCGGACGAGTCCGACGATGATGAAGATGACGACCCGGGCGGCGGCGGTGGCGGCGCCTCGGGCTCGCTGTCCATCCGAGTCGACATGGCCGACGGCAGGCAGTTGAAGGAGTGGAAGAAGAACGACGGGTCGGCCAGGGAGAGCCCCATCGCGAACGAGGTGCCGCACGAGGCGGCCGGCGACGGTGCCGGCGAGTGGAAAGGGGAGAAGCCACCGGCTGCGGGCAACGCTCGGGGCACGGACTGGGCATCATGGGCGACGGCGGCGACGAGCGCTGGGGAGAGGTCCGGTGGTGCGGCGCGTGGTAGAGATCGGCAGGCATGGTGGCGGAGGGCGGAGGCGAGGCCGTCATGATGATAGAGGAGAGAGACGGCAGCACGGCTCGCTGATAGTGAGTACGCTGGTGCTGTTGCTGGTGCTGTTGCTGGAGATGAGGTTGGTGGTGTAGAGAGTAGCGCGCGTCACCTTCGATCGCCGGCGGCGGTTCGTCGAGCTGCTGCTCCAAGCGGCGCCGTCGAAGCTGACGGTCGTTGGCGTCGTCATCCCTTTCTTCAAGCTCGGCGGCACCGCCGCCACCACCACCACGAGAAGCGGCGACCTGCTGTGGCACGGGGAAGGACGAACCCGGCGTGGTGCGGCCCGCGTGGTCGTAGTCGTCGTCGGCCTTTCGCTTGTGGCCGGCGCTGGCGGACGTCGAGGTTGACGTGGCTGTCGATGTTGATGTTGTGGCGGCCCCGGCCCCGGACGGGTTGAGCAGGAAGGCGATGGCGAGCCGACCGCCGCCCATCAGGCCGCTGCAGTGGGCCTCGTCGTCGCCCTCGACGTCGTCGAGCGACGCACGATCGTCATCGGGCTCGCCGCGGGCCTGCGAGGACTGGCGGTGCTGGGGGAGGGGCGGAGGGTCGTGGCGTAGCGAGGGCGGGTTGTCCCAGGGGTGCTCGCCAAAGCTGGGCAGATGGTGGGCCTGGTTGCGTCCGCGTTGATTGTCGTCGTCGATGGGCGGGGAGATTTGCGGTGGCTGTTGTTGTTGTTGTTGATGATGATTGCGCAGATTGTGGCGCGCCAGCAGCAGGCCGCCCACGACCGATGAAGCATCGAGATCATTTCGGTGATGATGATGATGTTCTACGCCCCGGTTCGCCATCGTTGTCCTCCTCCTCGACTAAAATCTCCCGACCTACGCAGCTCTTCCCCTCAATCAATGGTTCCTACGCAGGACAGCAATCTCGAACAAGTGAACAGGGACGGAAGAAGGGTTGCAAAAATTAGGGTTTGATTTTTCATTGGTATTTTTCGAGCAAGCACCAACAGCAGAGACGGCCCGAACTGCCCAACTGAAGAATGGCCACTCCGATTGGCTCACGCAACTCACTGGCAGTGGTCGCCGCAGGGCGCGAAGGGCATGGTGTCAGGCACGATGTTGACCTCGGTCGTGGTGATGAATTTCCTGAGCTGTCCAGCGCGCGGCCAGTCACTGGTGTGCGTAAAAGCAGACAAGGACGAGGAGTCAGTTTAGTTGTTGGTCAGATCCGCGACGTTCCGCCAGCGCAGCGCGAGTGCCCAACGGCGGAGTGGGACTGAACGAGGTACCGGTACTCCCAGACAAGCTCGACGAGGAAACCGGTCCAGCCGTAGATGGGGGCGCTCTTGGTGGCCAGGTACTTGCCGGAGCCGGGCAGGGCCTCCTGCAGCTCCTCGGAGTACCAGATCACAGGGTTCAAGCCTGCACAGGCAACAACAGGCGTGGGTGAGGTCCGGAATAATAATAATAATAATAAAAAAGAGCGAAAGCGACGACGATGAGGAAAGAAAGAAGGCATGAGTGGGTACAATCGGGCAGCTTGGTGCACTTGACCAGGCGGAAGTCCCTCATGGTGGACGACAGGGTGCTGGCATGCCACAGCGTGACCGACGTGGGCCTGCGCAGTCCATCGGAAAGTGGAACAAACAAGGCCATTGCGTCAGTGACTGGCAACAACGACAATCAACGTATCACATCTGCAATTTGGTAGTGGCCGTGGTGGAACGTACGGGTTGGCGGTGTCGACTTGGACCTTGATGCTGGCGGTGGTGTTGGACTTGATGATCTCGTAGGTGTACGAGGGGCGCGGGGTCTTGGAGATCACCATCTGGTAGAAGCCGCTGAGGGTGAAGGTAACATCGACGTAGGCCGTCACGAGGGCGTGCTCGGCATCGGGAATGAGCTGCGCAAGTACGTGTATGAAGGCACGGAGGTGAGACTGTGCCCATGGGCCGCTTGGCCGGTGGTGGTCAGAGTCGAGGGCCAACGTACGTTCAGGTGAGTCTCGCCGGGGAGCTCGTTGATGAAGAACTGCGGAGAATCGGGGAGGAAGAACTCATCGCCGGTGGCAGTGAGAATCATCTTGGGCATCGTCAGACGGTCCCTGCGCAAGGCGCCGGCAGTGTGAGCTTTTTTGCTTGTAACCGCCGCCGCCACCTCACGGCGTGAACCTGGAGGCTCATAGTCCTGCTACGTACCTGTAGGTGTACGGGTCCACGATGGCAGCCATGTCCAAGAACTCGGGCTTGTTCAGGAAACCCATACACCCCTGCTGGAGGTAGTCACTCAGAGCAAAGCTCCAGCCACCTGCGGCGCGGCACGTGGTCGATCCAATGTGTAAGCCCAGTGACGTTGCACAACAATGATTGACTGTCGTTTGATCTTTACTCCGATCGTACCGTAGGCCTGGTAGTGGTGGTTCATGTTGGGAACGATGTTCAGGATGGGCATCACCATCGGGACGATACC